AAAAAAAAAGAAAAAGAAATAAACAGGATCAAGACATCCTCCCTCACCACTATCCAACTGTGCTTTTGACCTACAGGAACTTCAAGAACTGGCGGAGAAGCATCCCAACATCCACATAATCACTTTGGGTAAGACTGAGAAGAACATTGTTTTCTGTGTTTAGACAGAAAAAATTTAGGAAAAATTAAAACACAAAGTCGCAGTCTTTATGACAGGCCATCGGCCGCTTTGTTAGATACACCCGTTGAACTGCTTGTTATTGTAAATATCTTATCAGCCAAACACATGGCTTAATGCAATTCATTGTATTTAAGATCTGAGCCACATTTCATGATCACCTTGTCCTTTTATGGTTCTCTAGCCCCCAATTTCTTGTTGCTGCGAGTGTTGCATGATTTTTTTTTTTCAGCTTTGATTAGTTTATGTCTCTTTACTAGACGTAGTGAACCAGGAGAGCATAGAGAAGTCTGTAGAAGAGGTGAGCAAGCTGGTGCAAGAAGAAGGTCTGAACTGCCTGATCAACAATGCGGGCATCAAAGTGGTGGCCGACTTTCATTCTGTTACCACCGAGATGATGATAGAAAACTTCCACACCAACACTGTGGCTCCTCTAATGATCACTAAGGTAAATTTTATTTATATATTGTGTGCCTCTTGCCACCTTCTGTGCTTTGAATCAGCTACTTAGTAGCTCTAAAAAAGTTTTATTTGGAACATCTTGCATCATCAGACAGTGAAATAACCAAAAGAAAAGAGTGCAGCGTTCTGTTTTCCTCAGTCGCCGCAAGCAGGACCCATGAGTGTTTCATTTCCTCAGTGCTGGAAGCCAACATAAAGACACGACCTTGATGGACAGAAGTAACAAAACCCTGTTGTCTGGGGCAGATTGAATGCCATAAATATTAATTAAAAGTCAATTATTTTGTCGGCCGCTGATTTTGGGGTGGACTACAGAGTAAGCCTCCTGTGCTGGTAAAACTCAGGCACTGATCAGAAGCATGGCAGCATGGCAGATTGTTCCTGACACACAGTTTGCTTCTGTTAAAGAGCCCTTTCTGCAACTGTGCAAGGCCAAATTGCTGCCCGGACGTCTTCTATAATCACCGTCTGCAAAGTTGTAAATGTGGTTTTAAATCAACACTACATCACACACTTTAGAGCAGACAACTGCTTCTCGGCCCTCTCTGCAGGTTTTGGGAGATAATTACACTTCAGATTGTAACAAAACTGAAAATGTCATCTTAGGTCTTTGTTTGTTTTTTGTTTCTCCCAGAGAGTTTTAATGACTGAATGATTAATCAGTAATTTGAGGAAAAACTTGTTTTAACCTATAAAAACCCTAAAAGGGTGTATCTCTCATTTGTCTTAAAAATGCTTGTTTTTAAACAGTTGCTTTGTGGAGAATCAAGCAGTTTGAAGCTGTCTGACTGTATTATTAGTTTTTTTTTGGAGACCCATCGTTGATCTCTGCTTCAACTTGTTGATTTTT